AGCATTTTAAAAGAAGTCATCTTTATCTCTAGGAAAAGAAGGGTTTGATGAGGGTAACACAATCAATCGAAATAGTTATTTTGAAGCATGACAAAACACCTGTATGATCTTGTTTGTGAAACATCATTTTACTTCTCATGAAATTCCATTAGTTATGTAAATATCACTATGTATCCAGTGCATGTAAATTCTTTAGTCAAACCGACATGAAATTGGGATCTTTTATTACCTTAAGTGTAGCCTTTGATATATCATGTACAAAACATTTTAGTTCTTCGTTCACCCCACAGAATGGGTAGAATGAAGAATTGCATTTCCCATCAGCACCATAGAATAAAACCTGAGACAGAAGTAAAAAATATTAAAATCAAAAGAATATCACAATGCTAATCTAGAAATGATTTTGACTCCTAACATGAATGATAGAAGCTGAGCTTAAATTTTAAAAGCAATTACATCTTGGAGGCAAATTCAAGTATGCAATTTTCATATCAAACAGATTCCGGTAAAGGAATAAAATTCAATTTCATTATACCGTGTAGCCATGCTTTCCATCTTGCTTTTGACGCTCAACTTGTACTGTTCCCTTCAAGCCAACGACTCTCCAAAATATCTGAAATCATTAAAAATTTTGAGTATAACAGAATAAATGAACAAGCAAATTGATCAAAGAAAAACTGACTTCCCCACATGCCTTGGGTGATCTAGAGGATGCTACCAATACGAAGACTCCAGAGCAACCATTCTCCAAGTTACTGAGCCAAAGAAATTCCGTGAGCACACCTTTAGGCTTTCAGTTATATCAGAAAAAACTTTGAGATAAAATTTAACCTTATTCATTAGGATAACTTACAAGTTTGAAGATATGATGTCCGGGGGAGGTAAAGTTTTATCCACATGAGAGGTTATAGCTGAAACTGAGGTAATCTCACATCCAACAAGCTTTTCACAAGAACAATAAATCTTATTAAGAATCCAATTATGTAATATAGTACATTCAAGCAAGCCTCATACTCTTTAAGCACTTTTAGCATCACGAGAATGACCTTAAGTCCTGATTTAGATCAATTATACGTTTCAGTTTTTTTCTCTAGCTACTAATGACATACAGGGAAATGGTTAATCTAAATACTTAGAAAGAAATTCTATACCCTTATCTTTCAGAGACTTGAAAACTCAAACTGTAGCTAATAAATGTTCCTACTGAAAAACACAAACGACTTTATTTGCCATTAGGTATTGGAAGTGATATATTACCATCCTTAGTCCTGCAGTGAAATGCACTCCCATATCTACAATGAAACCTCCCTGCCAAAAATAAAGATATGTTTGTCAATGAAAGTAAGAACTGAGGATGATATGGATCAGAAAATGAACTGATATCATCAAGCAAAGAGAATCCTCAAATTCTGAACAGTTAAAGTGAATAATTTAATAATAAAAAAAACAACATTAATTTACACAGCCACTATGAACGAAATTTATATTGTCAAATTGCAGCATGTGACTGCATGAAAGGCATACTTTTAGACTTCGCCTCCAAGAGCTTGAGAAGTAAGGGTTTGAACTGTCCATTGATCCTTCAACAATAACTTGGACATTCATCATATCCCCAATGTCTGCCATTAATCTCTTGCCCTGCAAAAGCAAAAATGATCATCTTGCATTGTGATATCTGATATGACTCATTGTAATCAGGCATAAGAAAAAGAGCACCTCTGTAAAAGCTGTTTCAAATCGATAATTTTCTGCCACAGCCCAAATTGGCTGCCCAGGGTTGGAACAAATAGAGTTATAGCCTGCTAGTGCACTTTCTATCTCGCCAATATCTGCAATATAAACAAACTCTCCAATGCTAAATATATAATGTACTAGAAAATTAAATACTAAAACTCAGTCAACTGAAACTACATCAACTCACTTGATGCCGCCGGTTTCTCTTAACATCCACCAAGTTAATCCCAGGCAACACATGACATATTGACATGTCAAAACAAAAGGTGAAATTTCAATACATTAAAAATAGGAGTAAAGGAAAAGTAACAGCATTTAATTAAGGATTTGTTGTATTTATTGCACCCTTTTATCTTTAATTATCATAAAGAAAAAAAAATAAAAGTCAACTATTATTTTATCAATTATCCTATTAAAATCATCCTCATGACGTTAGTGTTAAAAAAAAGTTTTTTTTCTTTTTTTTTTTTTAAATTTCATACAAATTAATGACGAAAAAGTGTAATAAATACACAAGAAAAACCTTTAATTAATATGAATGCAACGATTTAATTAGCTTTGCATGCTACAGTAGTCTATTCATTTATCTAAACTCAAAGCAACAACCCTTATTTTTTAACAGCATTAAAGCATAACTAACCTTGGAGGACATGCTTCCCTGCTTTAAGCAACTTCAATGACATATCAACCTGCATGGTTGTTTCAGATATGATGAAAAAATATTTCATAACTTGCTAATCGATGTGCAACTGAATATAAATTTGGGCTTCTTTAAAGAAGTAATTTAGGGCATTCAAAGAGCATTTATTATCTGAAAAAGTTTCAAAAGTAGCTGGATTCAATTTCCCAGTCAAATTGATTCTGTTTTCTTCACCGTTAATTTCGCTAGTCTTCAGGTTCTAAATTTAGAACATAAGTTAATGTTGAGCTGAAATTAAATGAAAAACCTGAGCTTGGCCAGCCAAAACGACGGCAACACCGAGAACGGAATCGTCCCCGATGATGTCCTGAAGACCTTCCTCTCCCCATTTGCATTCCACCGCTGGGAAATGCTTCTTCGCTAACTCGATTGCTCCCCTCGCCGATTCCTTTACATCAAATCAAAGACTATTCATGATTTCCTTTTTCTCCTTCAATGTTTTAAACCTAAGGAAACGAAGGAGTACCTCAGTTCGGCTCCAGATGTATTTGAGCAAAACAAGATCGGAGATCTCAGCGAGTCTGGGAATATATTGGGTTTTGACGAAGATCCCGGCTCCAACAACTGCGATTTGAGGAAGGTTCGCCATTGCTAAAGCTTAGATGTTGAGGTTCGTAGAAGGAAAAGGAAAATGTGTATTAGTTAGGACAAGTTCTTTGTTTTTTCAAGAGTAAAGAACATCGAATCAGAAACCGACATTTAAGGTAGCACGTTTAAGAGAATGCTTGAATGTCTTTTCAGGAATGAGCAACAGGCACCATAAGAAAACATGAAAATATGAAATTTTATAATTATAATGTGAACGTAATGTTTTAAGTTGATGATTATAATATGATATTAGATAAATATAATTATAATATAAATCAATATCTAAATTTTAAATAAAAATTTAGTTTAATTTATAATTATAATTATAATAATATTTATCGAGTAAATATTTGTAAACTTAAAATGAAAAGAGCAAGGGATATTATAACTTTCAATATAAATAATGCAAGTTAATAAATTAAATAAATTGCACTTTTTTTTATAAAAATTAATTTCTAAATACAAGAATAATTATCAAGTATAACCAACTACTTATTTATTCAAGTGAAAAAAGGTTCAATACCCCTCAAGTAAAAATAAGCGTTGGATCTAATGTGATTCAATCCAACTTGATTTCAAATTACTCAAGAATCAATATGGTTACCAGACAATACTAAGCGGTTAATGTCAAAAAAAAAAAATATATACCAAGTATAAAAAAATAAAAACAAAAAATTAAAAATTAGAACCATGCAAATGGAAACCTTTGCTTTGCTTTATAGAAATGCATGCACATTGAATAAAACCACCTAAGCTCTGATTTTTTTCCCTTTTTGGCACAGTATCACCTGAGCTTTGTTGGCACATTGCAATCTTATTTCGCCTTTGAATGATCTGGTCCGTCGCTATAATACCTAAAATTACTCTCATGATATGAAGGCCGCAGTAACAGGTTTACATTCAACCAGGACTCTTCATTGGATACAGGGAAACGCTCACCAATAAAAATGGCCAGCCTGTGTAGTAGTAACTATTCCTCCAGTGAGGTTAGCAAGATACGGGCAACATCTGGACAGTTCCTATTGAAAGAGTCTGAAGACGAATATAGGACTGTGGAAATCAAGGAAGTTAGCATTAGCATCCAGCAATTGCAAGTATATATCTTCTCTGGGTTCCTCGCTAACTCCACTCTGTGTTGCATACTCCAATGCCATCTCATAGTCCACCTGCAAACGTTACCATATAGAGTTAGAAATTATCAGATGCATCCATTTATGAACTTACCAAAAAAGAAGAAGATAATCTCAACTTGTCTCGCACAATAGATTTCTCTTTTTCTTGGATAGGTAGAATTTTGCAGGCTAGCAATTTATTGAATAGTTGGCCAACAGCAACATGGAACTCATGAACTCACCTTTTCGACATGTTGGGCAAGCTTCTCCTTGAGCGTTTCTTTTGTAATCAGTTGAGCAGATACTTTCCTAAGAATATCTGTATCCTCATCCTCAAAACGTTTCCTTTTTGATGAATGTGACTTTGCCATTTCTTTTAGAACATCATATACAGCATTAGTAGCATCAGGAATATACCTGCCAGAACACATGCTATTAGTTCGCACAAACAATAAGATCGTTTGGACCAACAATTGAATTTATAGATAGGTGAGTGGTTGGGCTTACTTGCTCAAGTTACGTTTTCTCTCCTGCTGCTCACGAGCCTGCATTTTCTTCACTATTTTAGATTTTAGCTGGATGCAGCACTGCTGAATTGCAGACTGAGAAAACAATGGTGTTAGCTTACTCAACAAATTATAAACGATTATTTGAGGCCAGATTGTAACTTCCGCACCTTGACAGCAGTAGCTATTTCAGTGATATCATCTCCAATGTACTCCTTCCCGGTCCCTTTAAAGGGTATTTTAGTGCTTACGATGCTCACAAAAACACCAATTTTATCTTGTGTCTGGTTGATCTTGTAACTACCCCAACTGCAAATGATTTGAGTTAGAAGTAGTTTTATGATAAAAATATTGAATCAGCATCTCCAGTTCAACATCCTCCATCAAATTGAAGATAAGGACTGGGGAAGCATTGCACTTCTTCATATGACATATAGCTTACTTAATTCTCTTTAGGGCAGTCCTCGTGACAACATCACCACCTTGCTCAAAGAGTAGTGGTATTCTGTTTGCAAATCGAAAAATATTCAAACCCTGCAGTTTAAGAAGGCTTAGTATACTTCATAAGCTTTTCCTCTAAAATATGTAAAGAAATGTTAGAAATGGGAAGAAAAAAATCCAATTAACTCTTTCTAATACTGACGGTAATCAGGCAAAAAAAGCACAGTTCAGAAGTAGATAAATATGAACTTGTTAAAGTAGGTCTGTGCTTGACATGGGTTGGGATAAACACTAAATATTACAGGTATGGTATCATGACAAGTTTAAAGAACAGCTAATGACTAGTTCATAACTTGGAAGTCTAAATTAATAGAGAACTTACTTGCTTAACATCTTTGCCACCCACACTAACACCAGCTTCTACAATGAAGGGGTGCCCCTCAAAAACTTGAGCACTGCATGACAGCAGAATGGAGTCATATTAAGGAAAAGTTCTGATCAATAAGCTGAAAACATGTTGTCTAATGCATAATAGCATCTGAGGCAAATCGGAATTTATGAACTAACCTCCCAGAATAAGTTGCAACCATGTCTGGATGAAGCTCCTTTATTATTCCTAGGCGAAGATTGTACTCACCTGCAGGACTAAGACACTGAAACCAGCTCCTAAATTACTGATTAATGAAAATTTAGAAATAAATCAAATGGTTTGCAGCTTTGCGCAACGACTGGAATAATTGATTGAGGAGAAGAAACTCACATCACCACTAGGATCATCAAATTTGGCTTGACGAAACAACTGGTGGATACGAACTATTTGCTGATCAGTTAGAGACTTAACAGCCATTTTTGGACTGAATTCTGGACCCATTTCTCCTAAAGTGAGAGAGCAAGATAATCATGTTACACATCAAAAACATTTAACACCTCAAAGGTCACCAGCCTCCTAAACTCATACCAATTTCAGAGGCAAATGCACTAATCCTGAGCAATATCCAATATAGAAAAAGTTGCATCCCCAATCATGCCCATTTATCAGTCATGATAGCAGGAAGGCAGAAGCTTCCATATGAATGCAAAATAGTGACTATGCTTGTTTCATTGTAACTTGTTAGTACAAACACATATCATTTGAGAAAAATGGACCACAAATGTGGTTGCATTATTTTTTCAACCATGAATTCCTGACAGAATAGATATTCCATCAACTTATTTTTCTAAATACAGTATATCATAAAGCTCCATTATTGACTGTTTTGTGACATACTAATATCTTAGGAAAAGAAGAAAAAAAAAAATGCAATGGCTTTTATGATTAACTGCTCCAGTAGAACTTAAGATTCTAACATACACAACCAACTTAAAAGGTAGCTTGACAAAAGAAAAAAAGAATTTAACTAGAAAAAAGATAAAATCAACTAACAAGATGAGATATTAGTCACAAATTCTTACCAATTAATCGTTCAGCAAGCGACTTTCTGATATTTACAAACTCATGCTGAAGAAACTGCAGAAGGTTCTGTTTTGAAGTTTCAGCAATAAGGCGTTTGATCAGTAGTAAATCAACAGATGAGGGATGGTGCTTTGTCTCAACAGGAACTGGAGGCAAAACGTCTGTCCTCCTTGCAAACCTTATGGTGACACTTTTACTGGATGAAAAAAGGAATAAATCAAAATAGTACAGATACAGGCAACAAAAATTCTGTCTGCATTATTGAAGAGAGAGAGAGAGAGAGAGAGAGAACATACTCAGAAGCATCTGATATAAATTTGAATAGAAATTGTGCATAAGGGGTGATAACAGCCATTTGTCGCATGTAATGCAATATCTTTGACTGCATATTAAGAAAAAAGGATATCTTAGAAGATGAAAATGATATGAAATTGAAAGGAAGAGGTAGCGGAGGGGGGGCAGATGGGAAAAAAAAGTAGAAGCTGCCTACACGGTAAGTTGTCCAATTTCCCTCAATGACCACTTGAATTTCAGCTCCATGCCATGGATCTTGGTTGTCCCGTTTTTCATGTAAATGAATGTGAGGAATGTTCCTGAAAATTAAAATATATATATATATATATATATTACAAATCTGACATTTCATCAAATCTTCGAGCATCTTCACCGTTTAGGAATCATCTTACCTCATTAAAAAATAATGCATAACTTGAGAGTAGATATAAACGGAAAATACACACAATGCACTTATCAAGAACATAAAATACCACGCAAATAAGGGCACAGAGATTTTTTTTTCCCAGAATATTACAGACGAAATAAAATAAATTTCCTGCTTAAGAGACAATCAAAATTTTATGTGCTCTCTCTTTTCTTCTAGTCAGGTCATACCTATGAATGTCTATATCGAGCCTGCAGAATGATTTATAGTTTTGTCCTCTCATTGATGATAAGATCTCTATTGGAAGTCCAGTACTCATTTTGGACCAAATTAATGCCTGCATTAAATGAAAATAAGTCAAAATCATATGCTCTATCTCTGTACCATAATAGTTGCATAAAGCCGCATAAGAACCCGTATACAACTAAGGCTTATATACAGCAGCTTCATTTAGAAACCTATGAGCCTTAAATTCAATTGCGTTACAGAATGATATTCTATGGGCATCACTGCCCTTTGCATGGCAGAATGTAGAAATAGTTCATCTTGAATTGGTTAATCCCATAGCACAACCACTGAACTGACTGATATCAAAATTCTGCAACTAAACCTCATTTCTGGTAAAGAAGCATTTATAGTGATTACCAATATTCCAGATGCCATGAAAATAGAAACTACCCAGTGATACCCAAAACATGAAAGAAGCTTGGATTTGGTGTCAAAGAGGGACGGCAGGTGCATTTCTGTAACATTGCATGTTTACCTGTTTACTAAAGAATGCTGATATTTTAAAAATCATAAAGAAGACCAGGTAAGAAAATTACCATTTTTGCACCAAGACCAAACTTCCCTCGTGTTTGCTTCAAGCCATATTTTGTTCCAGATAGAACTGCATGAACAGTTGTCAATACATCAAGGTCTTAAACGTAAAAGAAAATGTCATATATTTATCTATGATTAAACAAGTATCCACATGTCTAGTAACTTTGAACCTCGTCCAAACATATTTGGGATGTCATCATGTGCCATTCCTCTTCCATTGTCCTACAAATAAAATCATCCAAGTCAAGAGACTTTCCACTTTATACAAATTAGATCAACTGAACCAGAAACTTAAGACAATGCATAAATATTAAATACAAACACATAAATAATACACTAAGGAAATTTGGGATGGATATTAAATCAAACCTTGCATGTCACCCTGTAAAATGAAGCCTCACCTCGACCCTTAATGCCCTTTGCAGATGCAGGTTCTTTCACTTTCTTCCCAAGGGCAGCATTCTTTGCTTGTGTTTCCTGAACCTTAGCTTCCTTTGCTAATCGTCTCTACATTGAAAAAAAAAAATGAATTTCCACAACAAAACTCAGATGACATACAAAAATGAATAATGGAAGCTTAATTCCAAAAATGCAACAAACCCATCTCTTAAATCTAGACACTTAAGAGACAACAACTATAATTAACTACGCTAATTAATCCAAGTAAGGGAGAAATTCATCGAGATCATATAAACAAAATAACTGCAGAATCTGATGCATCCTTTTAAAGTTCGACAGAGCAAGTTGAAGAGCTGAACAGAAAAGAGGCACACAAATTAAGGTTCTACATACCTCACGAGCCTTAGCTGTCTCATAATCATCATATAATTCCGCATCAACACGTTCCCTATCAACAAGACCCATCATGGAATTGAACTTGCTCCTCCCAATCTCCTCTCTGCAACAGCCATATACCTCACAGTCACAATCATAAAGAGCTAAACATGCCGAAATCATTCCAAAAAAAATTCATCTCCTCCCAGCTATTTAGCATAGACCATAAACTTACATCGTTATTTCTACCACAGGAAGCTCGGATATCGACTCTGCTGAATCAAGAGCATTTTCTACAAGTTCTCTAACTGTAGTATACAGGCATTTTCCAGGCTGAAATTTATCAAAATAATTTTTATAAGAAAATGTAAAGCAAAATAACAATTAAAACAGGAAAAAATCATATTCCCTAAAAAATTAAAAAAAAAAGCTAAAAATGGAACTTACATTATCGAAGCCGGCAATGTTCTTGTTCTCCGCGAAGAACTCGGCCGGAGATTCTGCAACAAGAAAAACAAAAACGATGACCGGAGCGATCATACATACATTCATATTCACATCATCCATACATACTTTGCTTGAGAATGCTTTCTTTAGCCTTTTTGGGAGCCTTTGATTTTCCTTTCTTCGTCTCTGCCGGGCTTTCACTATCCATTGAAGCGCAATCCAAAAATTAAATTTCCAAAAAAAAAAAAAAAATCACTGTAAAAAAAGAATTCAGGTAGTTTCCCCTCTTCTAAAAAGAATCAAATCGGCAAAATTGGAAGCCGCCGGAGCTTCTAGGGTTTGAGAGCTGATCAGGGAAGGAAGATGGGGGAAGAAGAAGCAGAGAGAGCTAGGGCTCGCAGTTGGATGGGAGGTTCGGTGGCCTGTAATCGTCTGCGGTACAATCTATGGTTGTGACGGGCCGAAGATGGTTGGGTTTCGAGGTACTCGACAATGGGCGGACGAGATTAACGGTTTATGACGGATGTGTATCGTGAATATTTTATGTGTTACAGTAGCGGAACATTTCCGCTGAAAAACCAATTTTGTAATTTTCCCGCCAGATTTTGGGGCAGTTGGGAATGTAGTTCTGGCCTGCTAGATCCGGCCTCGAATAAAATGGAACATGGGCTTTTGCTCCATTTATGGCCCCTTTTTTTTTTTTCTTTTTTTTCTGTTTTTCTTTTGTGTGGTGAAATTCCAAAAGAAGCCCTTGAACTTTTTACTACGGTACAATTAAGTTCTTGTTCGATTAAATTCTCAATTAATGGCCAAAGAAAAAGTTAGATTCGCAATTAAGCCCTTGAAAGATGTAAAGCATTAAATCCTTTAGGAGTTGAAAGAATTGAATGGAAGGCTAAAGAAGATTGAGATTGAGAGGATTGTTGATCAAGGGAATGAAAACAAAGAATTGATTATTTGAGAAACAGGGAAACGGAGTTGGGATTGTACTGTTTGAGTTTTTTTATCCATTCTCCATGTCTAGAGTTACAGGGAAGAGACTTCCTTCTAGCATCTCCATTTGAACTTCAAATATTTGGGGTAATAAGGAAAAATGTTTATTACTTTGACCTGAAAAAATTAGATAAAAAAACTAAAAATTATATTTTTTTAATAAATCTCTATCGAGAAGAGGAAGACTAAAACATTAGAATTTTTAAATAAGAATTAAATCGTTTGTTTTTTTTTTCTCACAATGTTTTATTGAAACAATGTAATTATAAATGTTCTTTTACTTAATTTTTTATAAATTTGACTGATAAATAATAATATTTTAATAAATCTAATTGGGGCTTTAGAATATGCTTCAATGTATTTCTTGTGTCAAAAAATATACTTTGTAATATGAAATTATTAACCAGCAGAAGACAGAATACCCTTTTCAAACCAGTGGAATTTATTTGGCCTTCAACAGTGGAATTCATTAATTCATAGTGATGAAAACACATAAAGCCGGTGCCTAATGCTCAAGGCAGTCAGATAAGCTCAGAAATAGAAATTTCACTCTTAGACATGGAAGTCCTTGAGACAGAATATGCACCATA